TATCTGGACCCAACTTACTACTGATTATAAGGAGACAAGATATTAAGAAAGGTTATTCAAACCTCTCAGTGCTTTGTTATGACATCACCAGCAAAATAAACAAATAATGATATGTCAACCTGTATGGACATTTGAATTGCAAGGCATTAATGTTGATTTTGTCCAGAGCTCCTGCAGGTAGTGCTACACATTTGCTCAATCTTAGAAACTGCTTTTATTGTGCGATGCTTATTATCTGCTGCCCTGCTTTAATCAGCCCTGATTCTCAACTCTCTTTGCTTTCAGTCTGGACTCAAACTCCACTTCAGCCTCTGCTAATTTGCTCTGGCTTTCCCTCAAATCCTGCAGCTTTGTGAGACAGACGGAGAAAAGAGGCTCTAATAACTCACTCCTCGGCCGATCGGTTGCTGGTGGCTGTTCAAGGGAGCGCTGGGAGCCGGAGACGGAGTGGGAGGACGAGTGCAGCTCCTCCACCGAGGATTCTGGGCTGTCTGACACCGGCGCCAGAGAGATCTGCGTGTCCAGGTCCAGGAAGGGGGAGAAGGAGAGCCGGGTGGGGTCTATGTCCTGGAGCTGGTTGATGATGTCACTGATGGACTCCTTCATGCTGTCCAGCTCCTTCACGTTCTGCCCGTTAGTGGCCTGAGGCCCCGAGGTGCTCATAGTCACACAGCCTGAGAGGAGGAGGGCCAGACACAAAAACAAGACCAGAAACCGTTAAAAACACAAAACCAGGGACACACAGGGTCGTAAAACCTGCTCCATTTTCTTCAAAGTGTTGGAGAGTCGGAAGTGGTGCATGCCTTTTAAAAAACACCCATTTATCTTTTATTAGATTCACTATTCACTTTCTTTTAAGCAGCAAGTTCAAAGTGCCTTTCAAAATATTACAAAAAACAAAAATGTTGAAGAGAGGAGAGTTGTTTCTAGATATTATCTTTTTATATTTTATTTGTTCCCCTTTCTTATACCTGTGAAGCTCTTTATAGCTTCTGCTTTAAAAACCTTCAGTTCACCAAAGGCCCTCTAAATTAGACAAGTATGGGTCCTTAAAACTCAAAGACTGTTGGGACTTTATGTGGAGTGATGTCAAACTGGTCATGTGGGAAAGGGGCTTTTTTTTGGTGAATAAAGGAAATCACTGTTGATATCTTTGTGGATGGTTATAGAATATCAGCACCGATAGCTAGTCAGTATCTTACTCTTGAACGTCACGCTGCTTGTGCATGTTTGAACTGTTTTATGACATTTTGGCTCAATATTCTGTTTTATTATTTTTCATGCTTTTGCTATTAATTTTGTTCGTTTGTTTTTGTCTTTTAAAACCGGGACCCACGTCTTATAACTTAATGCTGAAGTCACTTTTGATTGATTCCTTTTGAGGATTGATACATTGATCTTAACAGTGATATCGCTTCAACTGGAATTAAATTGCTGAAATCAGTGTTTCTAAAATCTTGGATATGAACTTACATGGAACTATATCATAAAGCAATATTTCAGCACCATACTTCCCAATCTGTAAGGCCTCTGACCCTGTATGTCAGGTTATGACCTCGGTGTGCTCATGTGGTTGTGAGCCTTGCTCTTTGTCTTCCAGGATTTTTAGGGATAAAAATGTCATGTTGAATATTTGTTTAGGGAAAGGTAGGTGTGTCCAAAATGTAAATTGAGAGATGTTTAAAGGAAGTAACCATATGTAACTACTCACATGTAAATAGCAAACTAAGAAAAAAGGAATACATGAGTTTCTGTAATGTAAACTATCATTTTGAGGCATTGAATTGTTCCTTCTGTCAATCCCCTGATCACCCCATGACTCATTCTGACAGACCTTACAATGAAGTACAGAGAGTTTCAACATTAAGGAACAGGAAAGATGCTGGTCTTTGGGTATATGAAAGGTGCTATTTAAATGTAAGTAATTATAATTATTATTAAGATGCTGGAGATGCAGAAGGTCCCTATACAGCAGCAAATTGTGACCTAAATAAACCCTGCCCTAAATTCAGCAGGAAATATTTAGGTTTTGGGTGAGATGTGAATAACCCATCACCCACTGCATCTACAGTGTTATAGAAGTGATGCCCCTTCATTTTGTACAATGTTTACAGACCATGGGGGAACGTTCTCCATCAGAAAAATATTATACTTGCAAAATGTGGGATATAAATAAATGTGTTTCTGTTAAATGTGTTTTTTGATCTTTTAATACCCTTGATTTGTCCTAAGGAGGGTCCTGACCTCTGTAACATCACATCAGAAAGGATACTGAGAAATAACACAAAGCAGGTTTGTTGCTATAAGATAAGTAAGTAAATGTAAAAATATCATGATTTCTGTAAGGATAACCCAGGTTTGCATAATGTGGTTAGCACTGGTGGAAAGTAACTAAGTACAAACGTGATACTCCATTTTGATGTTACTGAATAGTTCTTCTGCACTAAATAGCCTATTGTATTTCTTACGCCATTATTTGTATACTACATATGTGATTAATTTATAGAATATGATGCATTTTAGTCCAACAGCACATGAAACAGTTACAATTAGCTAAATTGTTCACATAATCCATGACACTGGCCGTTTAAATCTACATAATGAGTAGCCTACTTTAAATACTTGAATAACATATTGTGGGCAATACTGATGTATGTTTGAGTGAAGGGCTTTTGTAATTGAGTACTTAATGAAATCGCTGCTTGTTCCTAAAGGCAGATTTGAAAACGTCCATGGAGTATAGCCTTTCGGTAATTTCTTACAAAAAAACTTAATTCGGTCAAAAGTAAGCTACAATCAAATGATAGACGCGTCTGACAAATGGCTGTATAATAAACCATGCGCCTTTGTCGGTCTGCCGTTATTTGGAACTGCATGCTCCCTTTCAGAGGTTTTCATTAACATCTGCAGATTCAGTTTGGAGCGTTTTCTTCTGGATGTTTTTGGCGCACATCCAACAGTGGCGCAGTATCTGCACGCAAAATCTTCGCCATGGGACCTTTCTCCAAATAAATGGGCACGATACCATAGAGCGCACATAACTCATTGGGCTTTAATGTCGGAGAGGAGTACATCTCGCTGGTTATCAGAGCTGGCGTGGATGTGGAAACGCGCGTAGGGGGCAATGTGATTTACTGCCCGTAGGGAAAAAAACACGTTTCTCCCGCTGCTGGGTAACTCTCTCTAACAAAATGTGTTTACAATTTCTCATACACACAAGCAAGTAAAGTCTGGACTGGTATGGTTTTGAATAGAGGCTGCAGGAAATGCCCAATTTGGTGATATATAAATCAAACGCGCCTGCATGAATGTGCGCGTAAAGGACACAGTTTTTCTCAAATAGCAGCAGCGCTGAAACCTTATATTAAGTGGCCATTCAGCAGCAATTACAGCAGTTAAAGTCGGATTTCGGGCATAGATGTGATTGAATACAACTCCATGTAATGTCTTCCAAGCGGGGTATTCTACTAGAAGCATGCGGCATATAAATAGACTTACTTTTGTCGGAGGTTGCAGAGTATTTGGTGAGTTTATTCTTCTGGCAGAAAAAAAAAACCTCTCCGTCCTTCTCTGCCTTTCTTCCCTCCCCCTCCGTTTGCTTTTTGTCTTCCAGGATCCTGAACTTCTGAATCAAATTTCAGGTCGGACAAAATACTAGTATTTTCCTCCGCCCACAATAGTTTTTTTCTTTCCTGGGTACCATGTCGAACACCATATGGAGCAAATAAAGCCCGAAGGAGGAGGAGGGGGAGGCACCATCTCTCAGTTTACCTCCAAATTCAACACTAACAATCACATCATCACAAAAACGAGTTTAACTAAACAGGACAGTAAACATTAACTCTCAAACTAAAGCTCAGTGATCCTTGTATTTTCCTACGTGTACTAATGACGTTACAGCACCACTGTTTGTTGTCCTTTATTTATTACAACACCATAATGAGCTACAAACTGTTCACAAGGAATTTATAATTCCACATTTGCAGCCTGTGGATTCAATTAATGATCAATAGTGTCTTTAATACTTAGATTATATGGATATAATTGCTCTTTGTTTTTACAATGACTCGATTGGCTCTGAAATTATTATTTGATCGACATATTTCTCATCACCAGCATTTCAAAAAGCACTTAATTGCATAAGTAAGATATTGCATTTCTAAAAGCATACATTTGAAGCTTACATATTTGCCGTTTTTAAGCCTCTAAAATGGGAAGCTTTTCTGTTTAACATCATGTTTTGAAATAGCAACTGAAAAAAATACCAGACCTTTGGTGTCCCGAGGCTTCCTTTTTCGTTAGATTTTATAGTCTAAAGAAGGAATTAATTGTTCTTAAGTATTTCTATATCACTATAATATAGCAAATCTGTTAAATAAAGCTATAATTTAAAAAACAAAAACGTATTATGCTGTTTTTAAGGAGTCGTCATTGCTGCAGCAAAGAACATTAGATCCATGTCTTATTTGAAAAGTAAGAAAGTGAATATTATAGTATTTCTGTATTACCACAACCTTAAGCTGCAAAGTGATGACACCTGATTCCCACATCTCTGCCAATTGCTTTCCTGAACCCGACACTAGTGGCTCTTTCCTGCTGCACAGGAAGTGAAGGGTTGTATTTGTTCAGCAACAGGAACCACATTAGAACTACTGCTCAGAAACACAGCTGAAACACTCAGTTATGATAAACCCAAAATAAAATACCTGACATGAGTTTCTGACAAACCAGCAGAGGATGTATACCGGGTTCAGGCTGTCCTGTGGAATATGTATTATTTCATAATATTAACAGTGACAGGATGACTCAGAAATGTGACTTAATTCTGATTAATCACTGAAAATATTCACAGCTGTCCATTTTAACATCTTCCTCCTCCTCCTCCTCTTCATCATCATCATCATTGGGAAGCAGCTCTCATGACAAACTTTAGAATTAAATCAAATATTATTTCACAGAACTGAAACAGATTAAACACATCATCCTGGAAGTGAAGCAAGTGTGAGTGACAGGACAACTTTATTTCCATTTATAATCAGGGTGATTTCATTGCATACAAAAGCATATCTAACACAGAGATAACAGCAGTTGATTAGATATATCATTAATAAATAAGAAAATCACAACTACAAAAATCATATTTCAAGTTTTTTTTTTAAATATACACAAACACTGGGCAGCAGTTTATTGACCTGTGGACTGAGTCATGGAGACACAAAGTTTTGGTGATGAACAACCAGCAGCATGTTTGAAATACTGATCCGTCGTCTTTTAAAGACATTAGGTCCGCCACAAAAGGTTAGCTAGTTCCAACTGCGTTTAGCCAAAGCATAAGAAAGAAAACACAAGCTGTGAAAGTCACATCAAGTGGTTCAGTGAGGGAGGGGGGGGGGGGAAGTCTTGTTAGTCCTCCGACAGCAGCCGGTGGAAGTGATCCTTCCTCTTCTTCAGCACCTCCCGAAAATCCTCCTGAAAAAATATAACGGGAGATATTTGGCGTGAATGATGAAACCGGGGAGGAAAGACAACAAACCTGTTGCTGCAGATAACCAGACGTTTTATTCAACTGACTGAAACATCTAGCAGCTGCACTGATCAGAGGAATACAACTGAGGGGATAAAAAACACAGGGAAGTCTGAGGTCATAGTAAAACCCTTCTACTACTTTATGGATCAATTCTTCAACATTGCAAATACATTTGAGGAATTTAAACTTTTCTCTAACAATCTACAAAGTTTGCTGCATCCCTAGACATCTAACACGTCTAGCTGGTAAAACATTTAAACCTTTACTATAATGAAGAATGGGTCATACATTTGGAAGTGTCTTGAAAAAATGTGAACCGTTTATAAGATTATTGTCACATCTTTAAAAAAATATTGTTCTCATAGCATAAGTTATAAACTTAGTTTGTCTTTTATCCCTTACCACAGGTGCTTTTTTTTGTGTGTCCAATCGTCTCAGATGGGAAGTTTGTTAAAAAGTGTGTCTGTTCAATGTTGCAACAAGTTTGAAATCATTGATGTAGTAGTGATTATCACAGAGTTATTTTTGCTTGAAATGCAGATCCCTAACTTCAATCCCCCATTCATAGGATCTGAAAAATACTGGTGTGTCAGTATGAAGAAGGCTTTTGATGCATACATGTAATACGTAATAATCATAAAGCTGATAAGACAGGGTATATGCAGGAGTCCTGAAGTCAAATGTAATACCTTTTAAGACCTTTTTTAAGACCCTTTCCATACATTTTAAGACCTCATCGCCACTTGGAGTTCTAACCGGTTACATTGGCGACACACTTTACCTCACATTTACTATATACAGTATTGATAGTCCTTCCTCCTCATCTTCCAACGCAAACTTGCATTTCCCCATAACGATGTTGTTTAACAACCGGCGTAAACGGACCTTCGCGCAATCGAGCAGTGAGCGTGCGATGTCCTGTTCAGATGACGTCAAATCCAACGGGATGCCATAAATAAACTACACAGAATCACACTACACTAGGGATGTTAAGATTCACCGATTCACATCGGTGCACCGGCATAAACGTTCAAGATGCGAGTGCACCGGTTGAAAGAGTGCACATCGGCTACAGTTTGGGTTGAACTCGCGATGCATCGATTGTAGCGTCTTTGCATCGGTAAAAAAACGATTCATTCATATAATATCCCCTCATCCTGTCAGCACTCAGAAGAGACGATCGTTGATCTTTGCTTCGCACTACGGAGGCCGAGAGTCTCAGTTATCAACACACATGGAAGTCGAGGAGAAAGAGAAACACAGCGCACCGAAAGATGGTCAACTTGAAAAATTGCTCGCAAATTGGAAACGATGCCGTGCCGCTTTAAAGTACACAAGTAGTACGAGGAACTTAGCGACGCACATAAAGAGGCGACATGGGGTCTGCGGCTGAGAAAGAGAAACCTGAAAGTTAGACATGAGTTAAATCACTCAGTGAGGTGTTATGTCAGAGAGAGTGGTGTTTAGTTTACAGCAGCCTGTGACTGCCAATAATAGTTTAAATGTCTTCCTTACTGTAAGCAGTTATTAAATACCTGTTTGTGAAAGGTTATTTGTATTCTTTATTGTTCATATAGAACCCACTGCTTTCTGCTCACTGGTGAGTTAGCCTATGAATGAGTGTTAAGCACATCAGGCTGGCAGCTGTATGGGCATTGCACTATGGTAGCTGTTATTTGCACATTGTTAAATCATGGACAATGCATCCTTAAATTGTTTAACTGTGAGGTGTTATACAATTGTACTGTAATCTGGAGAGCTTTTTAAGGTAAAAAAGAAACAGCATAATGGGATGCGCAGTACTAGTAGAGAGACCCCAAATATTTAAAGCACTTTTTTGTTAATGTATGATTTGCTGCATATAAGGAATACAACAAACATCCTCTGTCGTACCAAATTAAAGTATCATTATTTTGCATCGTGTTGAATGGCATCGTATCGCCCTGTATCGCATAATGTTGAATCAAATCGTATCGCAACAGGGGTGAATCGTATCGTCCGGTGTTTCAAATGTATCGTTAATGTATCGTATCGTTGGCAACGTATCGAGATGCGCATCGCATCGGCCTCAGTGATGGAGATGCACATCCCTACACTACACACCTACGCAATGATTACATTCAGGCACACTTTAGAATACAACCTCTTTGGACAATTTATATACTTATTGAAAACAAGCTACAAAATGTAATACTTTGGAAAATGCCGTTTAATACCCTTCATTTTCGTTACATTTATTTATCAACTTTTAATACTTTTTCAGACCCCGCAGACCTGTAAGAGGACAGACTTACCGCTGCAGACATTTTCTCCATGTAGGGGACGAGCTTCTGCAGGTCTCGGTCCTCTGACTCCCCGGACCAGCTCTTGATGGGTATCGTGTTCATCAGCTGCAAATCACCCACAATTTAAATGAATAAGGTCTTCTATTTCTTTTCACTCTGATAAAAAAAAACAATATTTAATGTTTTTGATGTTATTCAAGACAAGTCTGATGATATTCTACACTCTTCCCTATTGTCTTCAGTTAAAAAAGTACTGAGAGACAAACTCTTCTCGTGATTTAGTTTCTCTCATTGGACTTGCAGATTAGAAAAGAAGGCAGCATCTCAGCAGCCCTGCCCATTAACAGCAATGGAAAAGACACAGCATCACATCTGAAATCATAGTGCTTACATGGTACGGGTATGTGTGGGGGGCGTTGTCCAGAACAACCGTCTTGGCGAGATCCCTCCCGAGAACGCCGAGATCTTTGATGTAGTGTCCGAGGACGCAGGCACAGTCGTCCTGATACAGGCGATGTCTGCAAGAGAATGCATCACGTTTAAAACCCGGTGTTAGGATGGTATGTGCAAGATGTCCTTGTCTGCCTCTCTCCCTCCTAGATATTCAGCGGCCACTTTAGGTACATCTATACAATCTAATGCTAAACAGTACAACAATCTTTGCCAAATATTCCAAATGCATTTAATGTTCACTTTTCTTATAAGAGTGCAATAATGCAGACAAGTCAAACACTTTTGAATTATTAAAAAAAGAATCTACATTTCCTGGCGAAAATGTCTGTTACTTTACAGTCAGTGCAAAAGTCACCTACAATATCTGAACTGCCTGAGAGCTGAGAATGAAACAAAACCGCAAAATATTGAACTGCAGAGCTAAACAACGATCTAAAACTCAATATAAACTCTGGAAAGTTAAGGTGAGAAATAGGTCGCAAAGATAAATATCTGTAGCTTCTACTAGTAGGGACTCATCTCACATTGCTCACACTTTTATACGCTGTTTTAATAAAACAATTGGAATAAAGCCACTTTCACTGAGGAGTGGGGTTTGAGGAATATTTAAGGAGACTAACAAAGTAGGGCAGAATTTCTTTCAGAGTGGGGTTGTTGCACTAACGCTTTTTTCTAAATTTCATGCAGAATCTGGTTTCTCAGAATTCTTGTTACGTGAGGTTTTGGTCGATTATCTGTTCATCTTTACATCCCTTTTCTAAGAGACATCAACCACCTGAGTCTAAGAGACATCAACCACCTGAGTCTAAGAGACATCAACCACCTGAAACCAAAATAAAATGAATCTCTACAGCCCTCATCGAAAGCGACAGTGTAAGTCAGGGTAGGAGTCAGACCACAAGCAGAATATGTAAAGTTTCTGAGCAGATGTCAGAGTCACAGACAGGTCAGCCTGAGCGCTGCCGAGCAAACAGTTTATAAAACACAAGTGGACCCAGATCTTATGGAGACATACCGAAACAGTTTTCTCTGCGGGTCCAGGATGTCCAGTATCTTCTCTGCGTATTCCTTCTTTGCACATGTGTAAACAAACATCTGGAACAGAACAGACAGCAGCTGGAACCGATTTCTCACAAACAAGAACTCAACAGGGCGTCAAGACCCCACGAAAACAACATTTAGTTAGAATAGAATTGAATAGTTTAATGTCATTATACATGTACAATGAGATAAATGCTTCTCCCTTTCAAGGATGTTGAGTATACACAGAAAGATAAGATTTCAAAAAAGGTTCAGATTAAAAGTTAAATATGACAAAGTAGTTATATAGTACATATAGAAGGGGCTGTATACGATCTGAAAACATTAGACAAGTAGGAGCGATTTACTGCATATTAAAAACATCATTTAATTCACTCAAACAAACTCAAGACCCAAATACACCGATCAATGACAAGACAATTTAATATCAAATAACTCATACCTCATAGTTTTTGGCCATGGCCTGCAGAAACTCTTTGACATGTGGTCGTAGGATCATGTAGACCTGTTGATAACAAACCAGAGATAATGACAAAATAAACAAATAGGATTACACACATTTCTTTTAGGGCTAAACGCACTGAACTGATTTGTCCAATATCCTATTCCATCATCAGTCAGTGGGCTTCCAACTCAAAGACGTGCAGCATGTGGTCACCTTGTACTGATGGTCCTGGAAAGCGGTGTTGAAGGTGAACTCTGCTTCCTCGATCACATTCAGAGAGCTGAACATCAGGGTCTCCTCCTGAAAGAGCACAGATCAATGTGGCTTACATTTGGACTTCAGAGGCAGAGCACAAACAACTCGGAGTCAGGACAGCAGCGCTCCTGCTAAAAGGTCAGCCCAGCCGACAAAGTCATCTCAACATTCCTGTGGTGTACATCAAAAAATAAATCATAAAAAATAGAATCCGGGTGTGACCGCCTCTGTTCTTTGTAGTTGCAAACATCTACTGAAATGAGGGGAGATAATAATAATAAGATATTTTATTGATTTATAAGTTGAAGCTCCATGTTTAAAAGGTTTATAGCGCAGTATGCTCAACATAACTATCAAACACGACATACAATAGAAGGAAGGTTCGTATTACCCCAATCTAAATCAAATATGGGACAGAAAACAGTCATGCACAGAGCCATGATCAGCTGGAATTCTTTACCTGTCCATATCATTCAGGAAAATTCTCAAGTACATTTCAAAAGGTAGCTAAAAAAGAATCTCAGTAATATAAAGTAAAATTGAACTGTGCCTGTGGGTATGTATATATATATATATTATTATGTACACGTATTTGTATTTTTTTGTTTGACCTTATGATGGCGAAAATTGGATGAAGAGCCGTTTTGTTTTATGTATGTTTTGTGTGTGTGTGAGGACCCCAAGAAGAATAGCCAATGCTCATGCTAGTGCTAATGGAGATCCTAATAAAAAAAAAACACAAAGACATTTTTTTAAAGCTCCAGAGCATTAAACTCACCAGGTCGACCACCAGCGTGGCCTCGGGGGTGCTCCTGGTCTTGGGGGGAATATCTGTGATTTGTGGACGGGAATGTTGCGACTGTGATGGTATGTTTTTGACGAATGTGGAGCTGGAAAATAAAAACACTCTTAGAAACGGAAAAATGTTAATAATTACATTGAAATGTACGTTATGTTGGACAGAGGCTTTGTACGTACGGACTGAAGATTTCCTCATCCTCTTCTCCAGACAAGAGGTCAATTGAGCCAAATCCAAACACACCTTGTTCTGGGCTCATCAGCACGTCCCCAGAACCGTCACGTTTCACGTCTGGAAGGAAAATAAAATTCAGAGTTTGAGAGTTCAGTTATTTTCATCGTTAAGCAATCAATACCAACTCCGGCTGTCAGCTCACCACAATGTCCTTCTTATTTGATACACCCCGGGTGGGAATTTACCACAAGTCACCAGAAAGACACTGGTACATTCATGCTGCGGTTCTTAAGCAAGTTTATTCCACCATGCACTTTCATCATACGAAAAGAAGAAGAAAAACTTTGAAGGAATGGCTTGATCTTTTCCACAATTAACGGTTAATGAAAAGGGACAATAACATGTGTACTGTTTAATATAAGTATGTTTACTTTATCCGTTGATGGCCCTACAGTCTCTAAAGAATAGAGAATTGCAGAGTCAGCGCATGTACTCACTCTCTTTAGTGGGTGTGAGGAAACGCACAATGGGCGAGTATATGTTTCTGGACGTTGTGTTGCGAGGCGACAATGGGTCGATCTCTGACAGAATGCGCTCACGTTGCATGATGGGCCTGATGGGAGTCTTGAAGGCCAAATCTAGTAAACAAAATCAGACAGTCAGAAAATATAAAAGGGAGCAAGGGGAAGTGCAAGGAATACATCCTCAGGAATGAACAACATTATAAATAAAAAGTATCCTCGGAAAAGCTTGAAGCTGCCATTCATACCAGATTCTCCATCATCGACCGCGATAGCTCTCTTCCTCAGCCGACCACGAAGCAGCGGTCGCCTTGTGATTGGTGGGATTTGGTCATATGAGTATTGGGAGTCATTATCCGAGGTCTCTGTATCCTACACAATAAAAAAAGAGATCAAAAAGTAATTGAAGTGTCAATATAACTGTTGGAATAATGAGGGTAATTCACCATTTTACTGCAATTATCCATAATTAAATGTGTATTATAATCTAAAATACATCCAAATAACTGAAGTGGCTTTGTGCAACATTATGCATAAAGCCATAGTCTTTGACACAGACAAACATCAACACTACTAATTGTGCTATCATTCGAATTCAGAAAGACAAAAGGCTAAGCTAAGAGAAAGAAGAGCTGTCGTGTTTAAAAGTTTCTGCCAATGCCAAACAGCTTATTTTTGCAGCTGACTCTTGATTGGATGATTGAGGTCTGATGAAACAAGACATATTGGCAATTTAGCTATTTATTCGTTTAAGGGCAGTCATGTCAGGCCTTCTGGCTGCCCTATGAGACCGGTGGTTGGCTGCGTGAGGTCTGTTCACGCATTCCGGATTGTTTGGGCAGCAAGCCGTCGGCCATATCGTCCTGCAAACCTGTAGAAGACTGCCTAAGGTTACCAATTGTCTTCTTGGGACTTCCACTTCGCAACCTGTCTCTGACATCCACCGTTATATAAAACGTGGCCTTAAGTTTGCTGGTGGGTTCACTCCAAATAATGCCACGACTTGGTTTTTCCGCCCCTAGCCAGGCAAACATGGCATGCAGATTCTTGGAGCAGACACCAAAGAGGCTTCTCAATACTCTAATTTCCCCTCCTCAACTCCTATCCTCGAGACTTAGTCCCGCCCACAGGAGATGCAAGCGGAAGACTCGAGGAGGGGAACCGAGGAGAGAGGAGCCACAGGGCTCAGTGCTCGGACCTATTTTGTTCACATTATATATGCTTCCGTTAGGCAATATTACAAGGAATCATTCTGTACATTTTCATTGTTATGCGGATGATACTCAACTATATTTATCAATCAAGCCTGATGAACTTAAAGGACTTAAAAACGTGGATGACCTTAAACTTTTTGATGTTAAACACGACCAAAACTGAAGTTCTCATTCATAACACTCCGTTCGATGTCTCACTATGGGATGCGCCTCATCGCGGAGCAAACAGAAGCATCAATCTCATTACGCCAATCCTGATTGGCTGGTGATCTTGACGTCAGCGTCAGGGAATTCACCCCATATAAGTAGCTTGCGCCACGACGCATGCGTCATTCAAACACCTCTTCTCGCTTCAGAGCACATCTCTATAGTAGCCGGACAAGCTTAACGGTCCACAGACTGAACCCAAATATAACCATTTCGGCCGACGGGCGCTCGCCGGCTACTCCTTCTGCTTCGCAAGAAGACGGTAATACTAACGCCAGTTAGTATTAAAATCGACCTCGCCGTTTCTTTCCCCGGAAAGTAAGGTAAGGTTTTGATTTTTCTCAAGCTAGCTACGCACCTGTTGCTAGCTAGCTCCCCCTGACTACCGACACCACGGTAGCGAGGACGCTTTTCTTTTTCTCTCTCACGGAGGAGAAAAGGATTAGAAGTATATTGACACACCAGTCAATATTCTTTGAGAACAAAGGACCCACACCGTCCCTTTTTCTCCGGATTAAGGACAGGTTGGTGACACTTTTTCTCTCAACGACGTACCTGTTACGAGCGGGTCCTCTCCACGCCACGAGGCGAACAAGATAGACGCCTCTCCCCCTCACACCAGAGGAGTCAGGGACTCGCAGGCTCGGTCATGCGGCTGTGGGTTGAAGATAGCAGGCACAGACTCACACCAGGTCTGCTCGTCCTGCCTCGGGCTGGAACACGCCCAGGAGGCTATCGACAACCCCGGCTCGCGCGGGCATTGTGCCCGTTTCACCCGAAAGAGCCTCCACCGACGGCTAGCACACCAAGCTAGCTTGTTGGAACAGGACTCCCTCATGTCCACTGATTTGCCGTTTGGCAATCAAGACACGGGGGCGTCCGCCGCAGAGACTGAGCCCCTCACTGTGTCGGTCTGGGGCTCACTAACAGCGGCAGCTGCGGAACCGGGATCCCACGCCGTGTCAGGCCGGGACCCGGTGGCAGCAAGAGACGCGGGAACGGAGCCCCACGCCTCACCAGGCGGGAGCCCCACGCATCACCAGGCGGGAGCTTCCGGCGAGACCTCACCATGGTCTCGCCCGCGGAGGATGTCCTGGAATTAGACTACATGGAGGACGAAGAGGACACCTCTGAGTTCCTCCTGTCTGATTCGGATGAGCAAGAAGAAGATATCTTCATGTCATCGGCTCAAACGGCAAAGCCGGGAGCGATGGCTGCTCTCCCGGGCAATAGCACACCAGCTTCGCCCTGTCTGAGCATGGACCTGCAGGCCGCGTGTCAGCGCGCTGCGTCCAGGCTAGACATCCCGTGGCCCGAAATGGCCAAGGAGACCGCCAGGTCCCGTTACGAGGGGAAACATTCTCCCAAAGCAACGAGGACAAGGAGGCAACTCCTCCCGGTCTTCCCGGAGATGTTGGATGAGGTGTCGGTCTCGTGGAGGGACCGACCCTTTAGCAACAAGGCCCCAATCCAGGGTGCCTCCTCCCTAGACTGCGACGGTATGGAGAGGCTCGGCCTGCTCCGCATACCGCCGATGGAACTGCTGGTGGCAGCCCACCTCCTACCGAGGATGGGCCCGTCACCAAGCAGGAACCCCATGCTGCCAGCGAAGGTGGACCGTTTCCAGTCGACCATGACTGAACGGTCCTACAGAGCCGCAGCGTTGTCCGCCAGGGCTCTGAACGTTTCCTCACTACTAACCGCATACCAAGTGGAGCTCTGTGAGGATATGTCGAGTAATCCTGGACCGGCCGTTCTGGACGAGTTGGCCGCGGTCACAGACATTTGTCTCCGTGTCCAACGCTGCGCCGTCCAGGCCACGGGCAAAACAATGGGGATCATGGTGGTGCAGGAAAGAGCTAGATGGCTCAACCTCACCAACCTCCCAGACCGGGAAAAGGAGGATGTGCTTGACATGCCCATTGTTCCCGAGGGGATTTTCGGCTCCGCTCTTGCCTCCATGCAGAGGAGATGCGAGTCGAAAAAGAAGGAGGACGAGGCCCTCCACCTCTGCCTCCCTCGAAGGGCCCAGCCGCTGCCTTCGCAGCGGCAGCCCTTCGTCCAAGCTGCCCCGAACCCTGCTCGGTTCAAAATACCGAAAACGCAGAGGTCGCAGTCCGCCCCGAGTCCCCAGCCCAGGCAGGGGACGAGGGCGAGCTGGCCTAGAAAATCTCCGGTTCCGGCTGCAGCCCAGGCGCAGCCAACCCAGAATTTCGGCCAGCAGTCGAGGAAGAAGCGAGCGGCGTGACAGCCCCTCCTTCTCCCCTCTGTGACAGAGCTGGAAGTCTACTGTTCCCCAGCTCTAAATGTGTTCCCGCCGCCTCGAGAGATGCCTCAACACCATCCTCAAGTCCGCATAAACACATGTCACACACTGATTTTTCTGTCATAAAGCATTTTCCGCTGACGCATCCAGGCTTCGAGCCAAGGGCGCAGCTCGAAAAAATGAAAATAAAAACAATAAACAGTCCGTCAACTCTTCCCTTCTGAGAGCAGCTACGGCCTCTCTCAAAGGGCGGACAATTGACGGGTCTGTGAAGGCACCACCGTCACGCGTAGTGCCGGCTGGGGCCGTAAAGGCACCACCGTCATGCGCAGTGCCGGCTGGGGTCGTGAAGGCACCACCGTCACGCGCATGCGCAGTGCCGGCTGGAGCTGTAAAGGCATCACCGTCACGCGCATGCGCAGTGCCGGCTGGGGTTGTGAAGGCACCACCGTCACGCGCATGCGCAGGGCCGGCTGGAGCCGTAAGGGCCCCACCGCCAAACGCATGCGCTGTGTCGGTGGGGATTGACGAAATGGGGCACCACAGTGCTTAGACACTGGAGGGCCCCATAACACAACAAATAGAGACTCAGAGGGGAAGAGAAGTGACATCTCAGCTGGCTCTAAGGAGCATACAGCGGGAGATGCTCACGACATCTGCTTGGGTTTCTCATAGGGATGCTCCGATCGATCGGTCACCGATCGAGATCGGCCGATACTCACTCTCTACCGATCGATCGGTGCACTCAAACATGCCGATCGCGAGAGCATGACGTAAAATACATGACACTTTTCTCTGTGCGCGGCAAAACATGCTCGTCAAAATGGCTTCACCGGTCTGGCATTATTTTAAGGTGTCCGAAAATGACAGTACAATAGCGGTATGCAACGTGTGTGAAGCAGAAATCCTGCAGCTCCGCCCGCCGGACCGATAAGCGCAGCGAAACACACACACAGGGAGAACCAGACCCGTGCTTTACGCACGTACAGGGACAGATCAAGGATGCTTCGTCATAATGACCAACCCCTTGTGTCCTGGGCTAACCCTTATAAGGGCAAGCCTGTTAAGCCTGCTAAGCAACGGCTCTCCCACTGGTTTGTGGAAGCAATTGCTTTGGGGCCCATACGAGTCAGAGTTCGCAGGCACCCTCGGGTCCGCGAGCTCTTTCGACTCAGGGTCTGGCTGCATCCTGGGCTCTGTCCAGGATGTCTCCCATCCAAGACATTGGTGCAGCGGCGAGCTGGTCCTCGCCGCTCACTTTTGTCCGCCTCTTAACAGGCTGGACGTTCTGCTCCCAGTGTGACTCAAGCAGTGCTGGGCACCTGGTTGAGTCAGAGCTCTACCTGTTAAGTTCTGGTTGGTTTGGTGATTTTCGAGATAAGCTCGTCTGACAATACGGGAGCTACAATTTCCCATAGTGAGACATCGAACGGAGTGTTATGAATGAGAACTATAGGTTACTTACGTAACCCCAGTTCTCACATGAAGTGAGATGTCTCACCAGACGGCCCTCCTTGCTATGGTGAAGCGAGAAGAGGTGCTTATTTTGAATGACGCATGCGTCGTGGCGCAAGCTACTTATAGGGGGTGAATTCCCTGACGCTGACGTCAAGATCACCAGCCAATCAGGATTGACGTAATGAGATTGATGCTTCTGTTTGCTCCGCGATGAGGCGCATCCCATA